TCCAGACAGAGCGGTCTCGGCGTGGACATTGAAGTCCCCCAGCACAAGCAGCCGTTGGGACTCCAATGCCAGGTCCGAGACCACCCCCGCTAGCTCAGTCAGGGAGTCTGTAGTGCAGCGAGGTGGACGGTACACTAACAGAATCCCTAATCTGTCCCGGTCACCCACCCTCAGGTGGACGCATTCAAAATTTGTTGACTGCGGGATGGGGGCCCTGGTCAGAAGAATGGAATCTCTATAGACCACTGCAACTCCGCCTCCCCGCCCTCCGGATCTCGGTTGGTGCTGCACAGAGAAACCTGGTGGGCAAAGCTGGGTTAAATTTACACCTCCTGCTTCGTCCAACCAGGTCTCTGTGATGCACGCCAGATCTGCCCGTTCATCCAGGATTAAATCCTGGATGAAAGTTGTTTTACCATTGACAGATCTGGCGTTCAACAGCACCACTTTCAATCGGAGGGACCGCCATCCTGGTTACACCAACTTACCGTATCAGGAGACCGATTTGGGATTACTAATGTTGTTCCACATTCCCTAGGCCGAATTAAAGGTCTCCCTTTCCCGTATCTCCCCCTCCCCACCACGACTTCTATGGGGGCTCCCCGGTTAACGGAACCCTCTCCCTCCTCCATGACGCATTCGGCAGCCATAGTATCAACCCATAGTTCATTGTTGACTGTTTGATATGTTATAGTTCCAGATTGCCATAGTCTTGCCTTCCATTCATTTCCCACTCCTGCTATGTTATACTCCAGTCTTTCTGATCTACTCCGTTCCCTCTCTCTACCATAAACAATTAGCAGCAAGATTAACAGATGCCAGGGAATGGGTAATGACATGGATGGTAGCTATTAACACTGTCAAAGGAGTTCTTAAAGTGCAGGAGTTCTTAAAATGCAGATAGATAATTGTATCAACATACACGATGGTATAAATAATTAAAGTGCAATAGCTTGGTCAATTGGCTCTAAAGTGCTCGAATGAAGTGCGTCATGGAGGACTTAAATTCAGTGCTAGACGGTTGAGTCGATTAAAGTGCTAAGGCTCAATAAGGTTAATGGACCATCGAGGTAGTAAGTTAAGGTGCTGGTGGAGTAAAGTGCTAGAGTCACACAGGATATTTGTCCACTGTACTTACTAACGGTGCACAATTAGTTCTTAAATTCTCCGTTAATCATTAAGTATAGTTGTTGTTAATTACTGTGGTTAAGAGCCCCCCCGCCTCTCGGAGTTTAGGTTGCTGTCCCGAGAGATGTATCAGGTGACAAAATGGACAGCACAGTCCTTCTAGAGTTAGCGCTGATGGGGTGCTCCGCACACACACAATGCAGATAGTCAGCACAATCAAAGAAGATGGTCAGCACAATCAGAGATGGTCAGCACAGTCAAAAGAGGTCAACACAGATGAGGATGGTCAGCACAATCAAAAGAGATGGTCCACACAGTTAAAGGAGGTCAACACAGACGGATTAGACGATGGTCAACACAATCTATCCAAAATTGGATACCACGAGATGCCAAAAGATGGCAATAATCAGGCCAAAAGATGGTCAACACAGTCTTCCGGAATTGGTGGTTACCAGACGGGGTGATGGAATCTCGTGCGATGGCGGCAGATTAATCCCGGGAGGGCGAGGGAAGCTGGAGCACTGGAAGCCGGCACACCAGAGGTCGGCGCGGTGGGAAAACTCAGCTGAGCGCTAGGCCGGACGTCAGCAGTCGCTGGGCTGGAGCTGGAGCGCTGAGAGGGCGATGGAAAGCAGGCGCGCTGGGGGCCGGCGCGCCAGAGGCCGGTGCGATGGGAGGCCCAGCCAAGCGCCAGGCCGCGATGGAAGGCTCCGCGGTGGAAGGCTCCGTTGAACACTAGGCCGGACGGTAGCAGCGGCCGCTGGGCCCAGCAGCCGCTGGGCTGGAGCTGGAGCTGAAGCGCCGAGAGGGCGACGGAAAGCAGGCGATGGAAAACCCAGCCAGGCCGCACGGCAGCAGCGCGACAGCACAGGCCGTCAGTCAATTCAGGCAGCACTCCAGGTTGGAAAATGGCGGCACGGTTTTACTGCAGTCTGTCCGCGTCCCGCGTCCCGGCTCCCGAGCCCAACAGAAGCGGTAGGCAAACAGTTCTCAATCGTCCTCTTCGGTGGTAATGGCCCCCCGACCCTCCAACAGCGATGGGGCTGGCAGGCGGGGGCTGTGGGAGCGGCGGGAGAGGTGAGGAGGGAGCGTGTACAAGGGCCCGTAATGGCGGCGGCCCAGTCGCTCTACCTTCCTCCTTCCTCCTCCTTCTCAAAGCCTTCTTCAGTCCTCCCTCGGTAATGCTCCCCCAGTTTGACCCACCACGGCCACCTTCGTGACCGTGGTTTGTTACTGGTAAAGGAGCTGGTTTCAGGGGTTCCAGATGGTGAGGCTTTGGCTAGATTAGAACGGATTTTATCTCCGTCCCTACCGTAGCGGAGGCTCGCTGCTGTTACCTCGCCGCCATCATCATGTTGTGTTTATTGACGTTTTATTTGATGTGCTATGGGCTTGGCCTCATGTAAGCCGCACCGAGTCTGTACCATCCGCCCAGACGATATAAAAAAATAAAACTGCGACGGGCTTCTCTCTATGTCTGAGTGAACTGCGGGTGTCTATATTGAGAAGCTTGAGATACTCATCAACTAAGACTATTACTGGTTTAAACGTCAAGAAAGAATATTTATTTATTCAAAGTCCTTGAAGACTTGGCACAGTTCATAAAGTTGCAAACAAACAGTAATAGTTGAGTCTACAAAAATATTCTTTCTTTCCTATGGTTACAGAGGCAACCCTTTCTCCAGATGGCAGATAAGATTCTGGAGTCTTAACACCCTAACCTCAAGCTGTTGTGGTTTAGAAAAAAGCAGGCTTTTCCCCCATCTATAACTTAAGGTTAGTTCTGGAGACAAAGCAGTCAAGACTCTCTCTCTATAACTATATAACTCAATCTTCTCAATTAAGCTTATCTGACTATTTACTAACTTACTTAGGCGATCCCTCGTTGGACGAGTAAGATGGTCTTCCATTATGGGTTTCCTTGTGAGTCCGCATGTGGCTGTGGAGCCCTCTTCTTGACCCGCATCTTCTCCCGCAGTGAGGGCATCGGTTTCCAGGTGGAAGGCGGTCCCAGTTGGGGTTGGCTTGATGCGCCTTCCTCTTGGCACATTTCTCTTTTTCGCCCTCCACTCGTGCCTCCTCAAAATCTGCAGCACTGCTGGTCACAGCTGACCTCCAGCTGGAGCGGTCAAGGGCCAGGGCTTCCCAGTTCTCAGTGTCTATGCCAGAGTTTTTAAGGTTGGCTTTGAGCCCATCTTTCCATCTCTTTTCCTGTCCACCAACATTCCGTTTTCCGTTCTTGAGTTCGAAGTAGAGCA